CAATGCCACCAAAGGGGGGATGGACAACTTGGACAAAGTCACAGGGTCCTACAGCACCAAGCGAATGACTGCCCGCTGGCCACATGATCGATGTATCTGCCTACAACGCATTTGTCATTTGGACGGAGAGCTTTCCTGAGTGGGTGTCAAAGCTGTACAAGAGGCGCATCTTCCTCGAGGAGCTGGGTAAGGCGCTTGTGGTACCGCAGCACATGCTAAAGACCCCAGCTGCTGCAGCTCCAGTGAGGGAGATCCAGGAGAGGACTTCATCTAGTACACCAGTGTGTGTGTGTATGTTGCGTATGTCTTGGGATCAGAAAAAAACATAGTAATCACCGTCCTCTTCTTTCTAAGTTGCTGCTGGGGAGGAAGAGGTGCCAGGTCTGCAAGCCATCTGATGTCAAGACAAGCATGACCTGTGTAAAATGTGCAAAATTCATTTGCACCAAACATCCTGTGACGACATGTCTCTCATGTGCTGTGTAGATACACAAAAATGAACAGGTGGAAATGAACCAGGGGCATTTCTGGTTCTAAACATTGCATAGTGTTTACTATCACAACATGTGACGACAAGTCACTTGTGTGCGGTGGAGACACACAGACACACATACACTGTGATCATATTGCTAATCTCTTATTTTGTTCATTTCTAGATGAAAAACAGCGCTTCAATAAAGTTTAGTTTCAATACAAACGGTCATGTTCGTGCTGTGGCAGGATGCAGGACACAAACACACGACTGTGAACGCAGAGGGGTGAACTAAAAGAGGCAGCTTTTATTGAGCTGTGAAAACTCCGGTGCCAAAATACAGGAAACAGAACTAGTAACAAAGAAGCTGGAGCACAAGAGTTTAACAAGTTCCAATATAATCCAGAGACACACAGCAAAGAGCGGGTACAACACAGGACTTACAAACACAAGCAGGACAACGAGAGGATGGGGAACAGGTGGAAACACAGCTGGGCCAAATCAGAGCTAACGAGACACTGTTTTTACTGTCCTCCCTCAGATTCTCTCTCATTTCTAATTTTGTGGAAAAGGGTAAAAAAGACAGAGTTCCCATTTAATCTCTTTACTTCTTTGGGATGGATGGTGTGGGTGAGCACAAGGCCAGTTGGTTTTGGTCTTTTTGTTAAAAAGCATTAAGCTATTTGCACAATGTCACAACTTAGTCTATATTGATGGAATTTTCAAAAGGAAATATTATCGTTGGACTAGAAATAAAACTTACTGCTGGATCTGCTCTGGAGTGTCAAACTGTCCGTCATAGTTGTAATCAAACACTGGACCCAATACCACATTCATGCCATTGTAAATGGAGGCATATTTCTTAAGCAGTGTGTTGTGGAAATATTCCCAGATCCCTGAAAAAGAAGAGAAGATAATGAAGTGAAGGCACAAAAGGAGGAAATGTAGTTTTTTCTTAGTCGTTGTGAGATTCTTTTATTTCTTTGTTTATTGATTTGTTTTTGAATGACTTATGTCTTTGTTT